AAAGTAGGCAGCTCTATAGATGATGATGCCTTGGACAGAGACATTGAACCCTTGATACAAGCCACGTATACCATCAGACTTGGTGATTTTCACTAGACAGTCCCCTAGACCAGAGAATTCTCTGTCTGCGCCAGCTTTTCCGACATCAGCAGCCAAACGGGTTCTTGCAAAATCCAAGGGGTAGACAAAGCAGAGGGAAGTGGCTCCTGCTGCGCCACCAGAGGCCAGGTTACCAGCAAAATACCTCCAGAATTGAGTGTGCTTGTCTACACCTCCCAAGAACACCTGCTTATACTTATCCTTGAAGGCAAAGTTGAGAGCTTGAGTGGGGAAGTATCTGATGACATTTGCCAAGTTTCCTCGCCAGAAAGACAGCACTCCTTGTTCCTTTGGAATACGCACTACACAATCGATGATGCCCTTGTACTGCTTATCAGCAGCAATCTGCTTACTTGCATGTTGTACCTGCAAATAAAAACAGGTATTTTGACTGTATGCCTTGGCAGGCCTGCACTGCAGCTGGGCTTAAGTCTGCTTATACCATGACACAAGGTGCTGTTAAACCTGAACGCCTGATGGCAGTTGTCCAGAGATTAAGCTTCTGTTAACCATGATAAAGCAGTCCTGATAGCAAACTCCCAAGCAAGAGCTCCCACATCAGTACAAATCTTAAGACCAAGAACTGTAATTTGTTGAAGATCAGAATTTGAGGATTTTTTAAGAACTGAAAGGCTAGGGTTTGGGGTTTTCTTTAAGCACTGGAACAGGGTGCCCAGGGAAACAGTTGAGTCACCATCCCTGGAGGTGTTTAAAGACATGCCAATGTGGCAGCCGAGGGCATGGTTTGGTGGCTGCCTTGCCACTAGGCTCAGCTAACGGGTGGACTTGATGACCTTCCAAGATCTTTTCCAGCCCAAACGGTGCAACGATTCTATTACACAGCCACAAAGCCAGGGAGCGTACGTGAAGGAAGAATCATTGACACAGGCCTCGTATGACCGTAAGAACTAGAAAAAAAGGGTTAAAACCGCTTCCCAGCTTCTTCAGAGCTCAGCGCTTGCCAAACACAGGCAGGGCCAGCAGCGACAAAGGCCAAGCACGACACAAGCACCTCAACAGCCGGGCTGCCTCGAGCCTAGCAGCAGAAGCAGCAAAGTGAGAGTGAAGCAAGAGGACAAATTACAAAAAAAATCCCTTGGATTTTTTGCCAGATGTTTTTGCTTCTCACAAGATTCTTCTAAGCTGTTTAAGTTATTATATGTAATGTTAGAGTAATTTTGTTTTGATAATGTTAATAAGTTCTCAGTAATTTTGTTGAGCACAGTATTTAAATCTTTGTTTTGTAGCAAGTTTTTTTTCTTCAGTAAATGCTTTTTGACAGGATGGCAAGTCCTTGATATTTTGACAAAAAAACTGAGTTTTGCTAACATGTAAAACCTTGTAAAAATTAGAATTAATTCATAGGCAAAGAAGAAGTGATGTAATTGTGCTTTCAGACAGAAAACGGAGACATAAAGCAAGCATCTCAAAGTTTATCTGCCCCAAAATAAATGATAAAATAATTTTAGGATCATTTAATTTTTTGCAAATTTAAGTAAAATTCAGCATGTAGATCCTTCTGAAACAAATGGAAAATGTTTGAGGAGATGGCAATGCTGTGTTTCAACAAAAGTGTTGCCCTTCAGTGTTGCCTCAATCACTTCAGCATTGTTGTGTTGTTGTGTTCTCAAGTCAAACAAAGATAATTTTTAAAACCCAGCCCTTCAAATTGCCAAACCCAGGCACTTGTACAAAAAGGTCATACTGGAGGGCAAATTGCTTATTCAAAGGAAACCATACATCTGGCTTTCCCAACTCCTGCCATGTAAAATTCCAGGATTTCAGTGTCCTGGCAGGGCTGAGGTGGGGCCCTTAGTGAAACTCAAGTATGCGTTAAGCAAAGTTAAGTAAAGATGCGTCTGAGCAAAGCACTGCTAAGCCAGACTGAAATGCTATGATAATGGAAGCTCTGAGTATGTGCAGCCACAGCTGCAAATGGGTAAAATTCATCCCATCAGTTCCACTAGCCCTGCTGAAAAGTTGTTTTGCCTTTCTGGGTGTTTCAAACCCAGCAGCCTTCCAGTGCAGATTCCTAGTAGAAAGGGGTTACATTTTAAGCAACTAGGAGAGAGACTTCAGAGGCAGAAAACAGGAGGAGAGAATGTCTTAAAAAAACATAGTTGGGGTAATGAGAGGAGAAACACAATACTGGCAAGGCAATTTGCCTGTCTTACAGTGCAGGCAGAGTTAATTTGACCTTGATGTGTTGAAGGGGAACTACGCTCCACCCAGACAGTACAGGACTGCTTTACTAGAGAAAAAAATCAGCACCTTTACAGAGGAAGAAAAAGCAGAATCAGGAAATTGTCAACTAGTTAGTTTAACATTAATCCCTAAAAAAAAAATAAATATCTGGGAAAAGTTAATAAGCAAGCAAGCTTTTTATACATAGCTAGAAGATAATAAGGAGAGAAGGATCAGCTATCAGATTACGTCAAGAAGAAATTGTGTGAAAGCCATCTGATTCTCTACTGTGACAGAGTAACACATTTTCTGGATATGGGAGAAATAGTAGTTGACATATTTCTTGGCTTTGGTAATGGTTTTTGACAAAGTCTTTCATGACACACTCATTTGCAAACTACTGAAGGCTGATACTTATGAAACTTACAAGGTGGCCACAGCCTTGTTCCGAAAAAGCAGGCAAAGAATAGATACTAATTCTATTACCTTGGAAAGCTGTCTAGTCCAGGAGTTCTTAGGGAGTTCACCTGATGTTTAGTACTATACAATAATTTTTTAGATACTGGGGTGATGGAATATTATAGACTTTGAATACATGACACAAACGTTGACGTGCGGAATAACGACTTTAGAACCAATAAGGTTATAAAGAAGGTATGTTTATTCAGCGCTGGGTGCACGGGGGATCGCTCCTCCGCAAGCTGCACCCCCTAGGACTATTGGCAAGGTCATTCTATGCCACAAGGTAATACATATTCATCTGTACTGCTGCATATACATTAGGTGTCCGAGGATAGGGAGGGGTTATTGCAATTAATCATTAGCATTGTTGCCCCCCCGAGCTCCTCCTTGTTGCACTTACAGTATCTTCTGGTGGTCGTGGGCAGGGGTCTTTGGGATGAAGGCCGGATGTCTTCTGGCTGTGCACTTTTCACCTCTTGGCATTCCTTCCTGGGGTCTGCACCAGGGTCTTGTCTTCTCTGCAAGTTTCTGTGGGAGCATCCTCCCACACAATACCTTCCCTCACACTTCAGGCCTTACCTATACATCCCAAGCCTTATCTATGCTGAGCAGTGCCCTCCTGTTTGCTCCCTATGTGTTAGTCCTTTCTACCAAGGGAGGCCATCTGGCTTTCCTCAGGTCAGCTGCGGAAAGCTCTCCCGCAGGTCACCTCGGGCTCTCCCGGGCCGTGGCTTCTGCTCAGTGTGGGCTGAAAGGGAGATTTTGCTCCTACTGGCCAAACCTCGGTCTGAACTTACACCCATTCCTTCTAAACGCACGTCTTGAAATTGCTCTGGCTGGAGGGCACCTGTTCTCACACACACACCTTTGCTTGTTGCTTTCACTTGTAATGGGCGTTCTCTAAAAAGGTAAATAAAGCCGAGCGTTTAAAAAAAACCCAACAGATGACTGGTCAACCACAAAATGGCAGCAGTTGAGGTGTCTCAAACCACTGCTTAGGCACGTATGTACTTCACAGGATTTCAAAATGAGAAGGTTTCTCTCACGGGGCATGTTGTGAGAACACGAGCTGGGCACAGCCTTTGTCTCTGCTGCAGTACAGCGGGCTGTGTATTGTATGTCTCTGCGAACATTCAAAGATACAAAGCCAATTGTGTGCTATTTTGTATTCTGAAACGTACAGGGAGGTGACTCCTGTGCCCACACAGGGTTAGGCATGAACAGGACCGTATTTTGGATGTAATAAATGAAAGGCTGTGCTGCGTATTCTCAGACACACGGCTTTGTGTGGTATTTTTCTTTTAGAAAAAGCTCATAAATCAACGTTAATACTCTCATAGCACAACACTATATGTACAAGGCTGGGATCTTCTTTTTCTCCACAACACTTTGCATTGAGAAAATAAATCTTTTCTGTTGGGAAAGTTTTCTGTTGTCATACTCTGGGCACCTGAAATCTTGTCAGTCTGAAAAATGGAGGTAAAGCGTGTGTAACTTTTGTGATATGCAACTGTTCAGTCAATAATTGTCCTGTTCTCTTCATCTTAGGATTTCAGATGCATCTGACTGGGGGCAAATCCCTCTCATTTTAGCACCATGCTTTCTGTTCTTTATCTAATCTCATGTTCTGCCATCCACTTTTGCAAGAGCTCACCGATTAAGTAGGGCTGCAAAGGAGGAGGAGAATGTTCTTCAACCAAATGTGGTGCCTCCACATTTAATCTCCAATTATAACCACAGGTGAAACTTGTGCTTTTATACAACTGCCTTTTCCCAGAAGCTTCACAGAAGGCAGAGGAGTGTCTTGACTCGAGAAGCTGCTGCTCCAGTTCTGTCTCTGATCTTGACTACGACATTGCGGTAGCAGTTTTCAGACTTCATTAGGCAATGTTTCTTTATTTCCAGTAGAGAGTGTAACACAAAAGGACACTAAATGGTGATGGAAGTAATGAATGACACATGCTTTTACCTCCTGAAACAGGGTCAAAGCAATGTGTGCTGGTCGAAAAACCAGACTATTCTAATTGCACTAAGTATGAAGAGACTGATTCCTCAGCAACGTGCATGCTGCTGTATGTCTGCTGACACCTTTTGTGCTTGGAGACTTCTTTCTGAGGGTACTACAGGTGTTGCAAAGCCACAGTACCACTGCCCTCAAATGATGCCAGCATCTTCTGATGTCATTCTGTCCAAGTTCCAAATAAATGTAAGCAATCCATCCCCCTTTAAAAAAGAAATTTCAGAAAGTAGACATAACATTTCTTGTATATGATATTGACGGGTAACTGAGAGTGTATTTCCATATTTACAAAACATCAAACGTGACTACAGACCTCCAGATTTTACTACTAAATCCATTTATTTCTAGGTCTTAACACGGAGAATGGCATCTAACAAGTTTCCTGTCAATCTGATGTTGACATCTGTGAACCCATGTTGTTCCAGTAAGCCTCGATATTCAAAGCCACTTCTCTCCTTTCCCTCTGTCTGCACAAGCATGTTCAAACACTGCAGCAGAGCTGTGCTCCTGCTCTTCTTCTCATCATCCAATACCATTTCAGCCAGCAAAATCCCACAGCCTAATTTAAAAAGCAAATGCACGCAACACTATTAATCCATGATCAGGCAAGATATGCTACTATATAGAAAGGTGCAAAACCACAAGATGCAGATGATTTCACTTCTCATTCCTCTATTTGCTGTTATTAAATAATTTACACACTATTAAATGTATAATTTACTCCTCTTGCAGAACTCAGGAAATTCCCTTCTACACCATGGAGGGATGAAACACAAGTCAAGTCATGCCTCTGTTTTCAGAGGAGGAGGGGATGGCTTCTGTAGTCTTGGTGTGGGGGTTGTGGAGAAAAGGAAGAGAGGAATAGTTGTTCCATCTCTTTGGGATATAGTGTGCTTCACACTCATATTCATAAATGCCACAAAACTGGATGGCAAGAATTACATAAGCAGGGAAGTCAATGTGGTCCATTATTTCTGTAGGAACTGAGGTCTTTGTAGTGGGACTGAACAGAACTTAAACAACCCTGTAACACACACCTTCTTCTTCAGTCTTCAGACCCATGAGGGAAAAGGGAAGACACAAGTGGGCTACTGACAAAACCAGCACTGTTTTAATCATTGTCTTTTGGCCCTGCATGTGTTGTGGTGGTTTATTTTGGCACAGCATGGTAGGAGGCCACCAACTTAGATCAAAATAGCATTATACAAAAAGGATTGAGCTAAGACAGCCAACCAAGTTGTGCCTCTTTCTTACAAGTTTCTCTGTCTTCTTCAAAGATTCTTACTGAAGTGCTCAATGAACTGGTGCTGAAGTTCTTGTTTCTATTATTCACGTATCATTCTGTTAACCCCCAAATTTTCCACCTCTTGAGATTGTTTTCTGTGTATCACATTTCCTCCAAAGTGTTGTTAAGGCAGAATGTGGATAGAAGACAGCCTCTTCAAGAATGCATAGCTGAATGTCACTTCCCAAGGAGCAACACAAAACCTGCAGGCTTTATTGGCAGAATTTAATTTGGATTTTAAAACTTAACTACCTCATTTTTAATGTCTTGATTAGTAAATAGGCCCAATGTTTTTCTTAGTTATGTCTATTGCTTAGGAAGTCTTTCCAGTGTAACAGCATCAAATCCACCTCTTCCACCAGTCAGCAAAAGATGCCAGCTTTCTCCAGAGCAATTGAAAAACCTAACATGGATATTAAAGAGAAGATACCTTTATAATTCTTGAGATGACTGGGATACAACAAATTATTTGAGAACAGCTTAGGCTGAAATGGACTGCAGAAGATCTCTAGTCCAACCTCCCATTCAAAACAGGGCAGCTCTACAGACAGCTCAGCTTGTCCAGGGCATCATTCTCAGATCTTGAAACCCTCTAGGACAGAGATTCCACAACCTCTGCACAACCTGCTCCAATTTGTCATTACCCCAAGAGACACCATACCTAAGGGACTAATTCTTAGTGCGTATAGAGTATTGTGCTTTAATCACAGGATACACTGAGGTTCTGTGGTAGTCAAGCACGTTAGTCAGTTCCACAGTGCTTAGAGGCACAGTTTTAAAGTCTGTGACAGTTACAGGTGTGCCAGCTTTAGGATTGACATTTTCTGACTCTTCAACAGTTTCTAGCAGCTTCATGAACAGCATTACAAACTTTATGAATTGGTATGTGATGAGAAACACTTGATTACAAAATGTTTCTCTCAAAATACAAGCCTGTTAAGCATAATGGCAAATTTCATGTCAATATGGAAAAGAAACTTATTTTAAAGTTAATTTTTTAAAATATTTTGCCTTGATGTCTGTACAGATGAAATTAGTCAAATTTCCATTTGTAAGAACCTTCTGCTAAGAATTTTAAACCCTAACGTAGTAAAAGTCTTAACGTTTCCCTGATTTTATGCAGCTGAAATGCTCTGTAGTAAGCATGTTTCTCATCATTAATTGAATCACTATGGCACTTTCACTTTACTCAGTGCTCAAAGAGTAAAGTAACTTTTGATTAAGTAACATAAGACAGAGTCTACCAGGCTGAACCAACTCTTGAGGTTGCTCATCAACTCTAATTTACTGAGGCTGGTGATTCAGCACAGGCACAGCCTCTTTCACACTGGCTGACTGGTATTATTGCTATAGAGGTGTGACAGGCAAGAAACTCACAGCTGATAAAGAAGAAAGCTAGTTTGAAAGTGCAGCTTTAATCTCCAGGAAGGCTTCCACTACAAAATACACTTTCAATAGAAAAAATACCAATGCAGTATCAGAAAATTTATTAGAAGAGGTGACATTAGTGACAAATTACTTGAAGAGAAGGGATACAGTATATACTTCTCCAAAAGACTGGAACACAAAGCAACTTTTATTTTTAATTTTCATAAGAGAATTTATACATAAATCCTAAAACACATCTCAAGTAACAAGACAGAAGGCATATATGGCCATTTAACCATATTCAGAAAAACATGAGATGGATAGGAACAGCCCTCAAGTGCAACCTGTATACACACTGTGGTACATACTGTGGCTCTCAGGTTCCTCTGTGGTATTACAGCTGCTATAGGAACATGTTTGAACTTTGTTGTATTTTTACTTTTGCCTGCATAAAAAGTGCTTAAAAAAAGGGCATCTTGAGAGGTGTTTGAGTAAAGTTCCACAGAAAAGTGAAAAACACAACCAGCATCCCTGAATTCATGCAGATGGTTCAGTATCCATTTTTGTTTCCATTTCCAATAAATACGAGTAGTAACCACTGAATACACTGATTAGGGAGAATTTTCTTTAAGGTCCAAGAAAACTAAGGTATTAAAGTGGCTCATAAAAGCTTGCAGTTTTAACTTGCCATAACATACAGCTGTGTCCAGTCTAAACTTAATACAGTCTGCAAACTAGCCAGAAGAACCGGACATGAAAGTATTCAGTACACAGGAGTTTTGGCCTGCCCCTGACACTTCATAAATGCATGAAACTCACTCCTGCACAAGTGGCAAGTCTGATTTTTATTCAAAACCCGTAACAACTATGCTTCAGATAAAGGGTCAAAATGATCCTAAATGGATAGTACATGCTGGTTGATGGTGGGTATATTGCACAAGTGTTGTAAAACCTCAGCATTACAGTTTGCTTCTGGGCACACTACAGTGACAAACTCTTCTTGAAGCACAAAACAGCATCTAGTAAGTTTCCTGTGATCTTAATTTGTACATCTGTGAATCCGTATTTCTCCAGGAGCTGTTTATATTCCGAGCCACTTCTCTCCTTTCCTTCAAAGGCAAGGAGGGAGTGTAGTACAGCTGTAGGAGGGTGTATCTTCTGTTCATCAAGCACAGTTTCTGCCACTAGCAAGGCACTTCCTGCATTTCCAAAACAACCAAAAGTGGTTCAGTAAAGTATTTCCAGCTTCAAGTTTCTAGTGTTTTGTTCAGAAACATTTAGAGAGGTCCCTCAGACTAGTGTTTTAACAGTCTTCAGTAGAAATCAGTAACTGAACTCCACTTTCAGTAATCTCTTCCTGGAAGCAACCATTAATTATTAAAAGGAAGGGGAAATTTAGAGCACTGTCTCCATTACAGAAAACAGAAAAGTTCAGATCATTTCCTGCCAATGCCAAGTTTAAACTCAGCCTTGTTTCCACTTGAACCAAGCAACTTCTGTAAGCAACAGTCATACCCCAATCTTCACCCACAATTTTCTTCTGTAATTTACAAACAGGATTATGCTTTATGGCTTAGATCTAATTTTGACTGCTTTATGAAACAAACTTCAGAACTTCAGTTAATCCTGTTGGATTAAGGAATGATTTCATTTTAGCAGTCAGACTTTTCTGCTTTTTGTCTTCTCCTTTGATCTTTCATACTGTCCAAATATGAGTTAACAGTGTTCCTTGGCAGCCAATACAGCTAGACATGCCCTTGGGTGCATCAAGCACAGTCAAGGGAGGTGACTGTGCCACCCTACATTGCACTGGTACAGACCTACCTTGAGTACTGTGTGCAGTTTTGGGCACCTCAATATAAGAAAGGCATCAAACTATTCAAGTATGTCCAGAGGTGGGTGACCAAGATGGGGAAAGGCCTTAAGGGCCAGACTTATGAGGAGCAGCTGAGGTAATTTGGTTTGTTCAGCTTGGGCAAGGCTGTAGGCTGTAATGAGGTCATCCCTCAATTTCCTCAAGGGGGTCAATGGAAGAGGAGTTGCTGATCTCTTTCTGGTGATCAATGATAGGACATGAGGAAATGTACTGAAGCTGCACCAGGGGAAGTTCAGGGCAGACAACAGGAGAAGGTTCTTCATTGACAGGGTTGTCAGTCCCTGGAACAGGCTCACTAAGGAAAGTGGTCACAGCACCAAGCCTATCAGAGTTCAAGAAGCATCTGGATGACATGGTTTAGTTTTAGGTAGTTCTGCAAGGAAAAGGGAGTTGGACTTGATCCTTAGGGGTCCCTTCTAACTTGACATATTCTGAGAGTCTATGATTCAAACATAGAAGGAAGAAGCACCTACATACTTCTTATGAAATCTGTGCATAAAGTAGTGCTGAAATCCAGTGAGACAGCAAAATGATAGCAAAATAAACTGCTTCTTCTTGATTAACTTAAAGGAACTTTAGACTATCTGTATGTATAGAAATAAGCATGTGCTTAGTTATTTGATGATACTGGACTTGGTAAGATAGACTGGGCATGGCAGAGATAGGGGTGATGACAAAGTTATTTGTGAAGTCTGCAACTACAGTAAGGGCTTATTTTATATTGTTTTATTAGCAACTTCGTTTCCTTTTTTTTCTTAGTAGGTATTACCTTAATGCAAGCATAGGCATTCAAGCAAAGGCTATTATGATTGCAAACTTCTTATGATTACTCATTATGTTCATACATTAACATGCACCTTTAAGCCTACAAGATCAAAAAAACTTACCTGGTTTACAAACAGCTGATATCTTGCTTAACAGTACATGTATCTCTTCATCAGTACAGCCATGAAGAATATGTGAAAGGATGTAAAGATCTGCTTCTGGAAGGTTATCCGTAAAGGAGCTACCTGTTGGAAAGCACAGTTAGCACATTCCTACAGAAACCACAGAGTACATTCCTACAAAATGAAATATAACTATTGCAGAGGAACTAGGAGCTTCAGCATAGGTAAAAGAAACAAGAATGAACAGGTATAGGGATGCACTGATTTACAGATAAAGGAAGTGTAGTTAAAGAGAAGAACAGAACACAGGTAAGAATACTTTAACAAAAATGGAGAGAAAGCCTACAGCAAAGAAAGTCCTTTGTAGCCACCATGTTGATCTTGCCTAGAAAAGAAAAGCCTGAGGCATGGGCATGCAGCCTCTACTGCCAGTGGTACTGAAAAATGACCAATTCATACTTTATTTGTCCATGCTCTCCAACCATAGCCAAGTTGTTTTTATCCCTACAGGCCTGAGAAATACAATGGCTCCAGTTAGCATGGGTGAGCCTACATTGCCTTGTTTTAGGACACACATTTGGGGTAGAAGCAGGGTAGCACACCATTTCCTGCAGCAGAAGAGCCTACTCTGTGCTCCAAGGTGACAAAAATAAGACAAAATAACGTGTTACATGTACCTGCTACAAATGTCACTGGAGCTGTGTGTTGTCCTGAAGGCTTAAAAGAAGAGGCCATTGCAATGACTTCTGGAAGGTCAAATACTGTGACCTTGAGATTTGGGTATATTTGTGCTAACTTGTAAGCCAGAGCTCCAGTCCAACCTGTTGGAAGTTTAAAAAAAAATAAAATAATAAAATCAAGTCTCTTCTCTCAGCATTTGCAGACACTTTTAAAGGCAAGGCTGTATAGAATATTAAAATAGAGACATCAAATCAGAATTAGAGGTAAACAGTCAGCTCCACAATTAACACAGACAATAGCACTTCCTGGTGGATACAGCAATGCTTTAAAGCTTGGGGAATGCAGGCATGACTCCTTACTGTCATGGAATTGCAAATATGACCTTTGATACCAGTACCTCAGGGCTATTTTGGGGGCAGAAAACATTATGAAAGGGCAGGGACATGTAATCTGTGAATGAAGAGCACTAGAACTATTCACCATTTACAAAGCATTGGTATCTGAAGCTTGACAAATACTCTCCAGCCTGGTATAGGATAGGGATGGTAAAGTGTTGCAGTCACTGCACAAATAGCAAATGTTGCATCACTATTGTCTTAATTCCTTTGACATGCTGTCCACCTTGCCAGGCACTAAGTAAATGATTCTTCCTTCAGCAGGTCTCCCCTGTGCTATTACATTCCCTCTGTGCAGCTCCAGGCACAGGGCAAAAAAGGACACTAACAAGAAGAGTTTATTCAGGTTTTCAACGTTTTGGTGGTCATCTTAGATATTAACTAAAACAACACACAAAATGAACCCATTCTAAAGTAATAAAATCTTTGTTCTAGCAGTGCAGTGTTTCAAGTTTGACATCCCAATATGGAAGGATTAAAATATAAATCCTTCATTACTTGAGAAAATCTTGGGACATGCCAAAGGACAGCAACAGCACAGTTGAAAATGGAGCTCCTAACCCAATATTCTTTCAGCTGAGCCACTGCACTCAGTCCTTTTATTCTAACATTATAAGCCTAGAAAAATAAAAGTAGGTAATATTACTGCAGTTATAGTAAAAAAATAGACATATGTTTTAAGTAAGAAAACAGAACTGAAATAAAGTTTTTGCCTTTAATTGTTACACAAGTTCAATTACAGGCAATACCTCCTAAATCACAAGCAGATTTAAACTGTGAAAGATCAAATGCTGTAGCCACATCTCTTGCTGTCAGGTGGTCAATGCAGTGCAGGGCAGCTAAGAAACATCGTGCCACCTCCATCTTGTAATGATCATCCTAAAAAGGAAAAAAAGCAGAGTAACTGAATTTTATTTTCATTATTTAAGACTATGTACTTCCAAGGCAGAGGGTGCACACCATTAATGTTAGAATTCTAAAATTAAAAGATCAGGTAAAAATGCCATTGATTAGTTGCTCATCCAAGTTTTTTGCTGTTTCACTGCATGATAAGCAGATTTTTCCATCCTCTCCAAAATTATGATCACACAGACTTTTTTTGCAGTGTCTCTCAAAGGAGATACACTTGGGTGGTTTGACCCTGGTGTTGGTGATGTCCCAAGAGCTGTTCAATTCAACATTTCTGCCCCCTGAAGCCAAAGCACCATAGCAGGGAAAAGAGGTAATCTGAAAAGTGCTTTTTAAGAAACACTGTACACCTTTGATCTACATTTACTAACACATTTGCACCACAGCAAGATGTCTCCAGATTTTGAACTGTTGAAAAGACAGATTGTGTTTTCTTTCTGCCTCTTAAAGTGTTCCTTTATGATATACTCAGGAATTGTTTTCATTTAATTCTGATTAATTCCATTTAATTCATTTATTCTCCCATGATAGGGAAAATAACTAGACAATTGGACCATAAGTTAAACCAGAAATGTTATAGCTCATACTGGGTTTTTTGATTAGGTGAGAAGCAAGCATTCAGTATCAGAACATCAAGCCTTTGCCTTTGAAATTATACATAAGCATGAAGCCCTTTGTCTCACTCTCATACAGACATCAGTAGTTAAATCTGGCTTTACAACTACCACAAAGTGGAAGTACCTCCAGGTTGTAGCACGCATAGTGCCACAGGCAGCCCATATACTGTGCTTTGACATACTATCCTGTACACATATGGAGCCCAGGCCTGAACTGGTACTGACTCCTGCTACAAGCATCACTCAAGCTGGTACTCCAGGTGTTTCATAAAGGATGAGGTCCAGACCACCTACATTAAAACACTTTAAGCATCTACTAGATGCTAGCCTAGAGCAGAGTATCTGAACTCCCTTTAAAATAGCCTTGAAAGGACTCCTAGAAGAGGTTCTGTCTACCAGTAATCTCAGTACTAACAATAATCTAAATAGGACCTTTTTAAGTCTTCAGAAGCCCTTCCTTCCAGCAACTGTGTATGAGGGATGTAGACATATCCTTTAAGAGATTGGCTTCGTCATAATTTAGAAGCTAATTTGTATTAAGAGCCTCAGGATGCAGTCTGAAGGATACCTTAAGCCAGCACTGCTGTCAAAGATGAAGTCCTGACATCTTCTCCTGCTCATTCTACTAGTTCTGTCCTGAAAACAGGCACAAATATTTATGCCCCCAATCCACTTCACTAGGTGGATAACTGACAAGTTAAGCTAGTTATAAACATAAGTGGTTCTCCACTTTGAAAACATCCACCGGGGTTAGCCCTGGAAAAGGAACACTACAGAAATGGAAAGAGACAGAAGAAAGAATTACAATTCTTACCAGCAATATGAACCATCTTGAACCATATACAAAACTGCAAAACTTCAGCAAAGAGACTGGAACCCTTCTCCACTGCATCAACACAAAGTGACTTTAAAACCAGCTGATTACACAGCCAGCACAGGCTGAACCAGAAGCACATCAGCACCAAGTAACAGGCATCCAATATGGAAGGAGTGCAAGTGTGACAAGGTACTATGCAGTGTTATAAAAAGGACACAAATGTAAATTAAACAGGCCCAGACATTGTTCTGAGAGTGTGTTAGCTGGATGGGCAACATTTTAGCCAGAGAATTTTAATCAGCACTCAAATTACGCAGTATATTCTGTGATTGCTCCAGCACTTTAGAGCCTAAAGTTAAAGGGAACAGAAGTCTGAGTTGCACCGTGTTTCTACCATTTCTGAGACTTACCAGCTTTCTTAGACAGCTAAACCATCTGCCCCTAGAGCAGTTCTGGGCTACTCACAGCTAGTTTTGAAACAAGTAAGAGTTTACATTACCTTAAATAAATCCTCTGATTTCTTCCCAGAGGCTCGACGGCTCTGCCTTCTGCCTTCCCTGACATCAAACGCCAAGTTTGTGAACATATGCCAAACGTTGTCATTACAGTGGATAATGTAGTCATGAAATGAGTATTCACCATCTGAGGTCAGGTAGATATTTGCTGAATCTGTATTACTGTAACCTTATGGGAAGAAAGCAACTGTGACCAGCTTTGTTTCACTACTTTACAACTGAAGTTTAAAATCTGAATGGGTTTTCCAGTGTAACTATTTAGTTACCAAATCCTGATCTTGGGACCGTATTATTTTTTGTGCAAAGATCTGAAATAATTCTAAAGGTCTTGTCATCCTTAAGGGAACAGTTACTTTGTTTATAAATAGAATTTAGATGCTGGAGAATATATATATATGCATATTTTTTTACTATTATTTTTTAAACCAGAGTACCTCAGCTACACCCCTGATATACCAGGGAGAGTATTACATGTTCATCATTCTTCACTGCATTTTTCTTTAGATTATGGCTTCTTACCCTAAATTCAAGCCTTCTCCAGTATGTTTTGCCTTTAGGGCTTTATCCTTGTTCTTGTCCTCTAACAGAGTTGAAAACCTCCTTTATTTCCTTCTCTTGGCAATTGACCATTTCAAGTGTGGCCTCACCAGTGCCAAGTGCAGGTGGACAATCACTTCCTAGTCCTGCTGGCCAGATTACCTCATGCAGACCAGGATGCTGTTGGCCTTCTTGGCCACCTGGGCACACTGCTGGCTCACATTCAGCCAACTGTCAATCAGCACCCCCAGGTCCTTTTCCTCCAGGGAGATTTTTAAACCACTCTTCCCCAAACCTGTAGCCTTACATGGGTTTGTTGTGGCCCAAGTGTAGATGGTACATTGCTCCCTGGGACTGCTCACATAAGTTTTTCTTAGGAATTTAAACAGCCCTCCATCTAGAGAGCAAAAGCAATCCTCAAAGGAGACCTGACTGGGTTCATTAGATAGAGCCTGCCTTCAAATAAAACAATTCCAGCTACTAATAATGAGAGCAAAGAAGCAACCATCTATTTCTTTTTTTCCCAAATGCAGGTTACCCACAATATCAAGCCAGACCCTGTGCAACCTTCAAAGTCAAAGCATCTTGTCCAGTGCTGCATGTCTACATGCTGTTGGGGGCAGGAGAAGTTTAGTCACCTTGTGGTGTCTTTTCCAGTAATCCAAGAGCAGCACATCCATCAAGGAGTCTTTCTGTTCCACACACAGAGGTTCCAACCTCACTTGCAATATCCACAGCCTTCAGTGGACCTTTATCTTTTAGATGATCAAATATCTTCAGCTTAGAAGCTACAAACAGAGCCTACATGTAGAACAAAACTGTTAGCATGTTGTGTTTAGAAGACTGCAAACAAGAAAAGAACCATGCCATTTGCCTAGAATTATTCAAAACAACTACTGTTCTTTAATATGTGCAACAAATCTTCACAAAACTCCTAAAAATTGCCATTACTTCCTTCCCTCTTAAAGGGAATCACTATCTTAGTCAAATAACATAATTTTGAATAGATGTGTTTGGGAGAGAAGGGAACTAAAAATATTCTTGAACATAGCCTATAATTATTGTTTTTTATAAAGACCACCTCTTTATTCATACATGCTGCATAACCCCACCTGTAAGCTTGTTCCATAAGGTCAAACATTCTTAGATGTCTGAACCAATGCCAAAAAAACTAAATTTACCCAAAATGTAAGGAACTGTGCAACAACTTCAGTTGCTATAACACTGGTCTTTGTTTAACAAAAATTAAGAAAAAAAAGAATAACATTTCAGAGCACAACTGTACTACATGCACACCTTAATACAGCATGCACACATGGAATGGGAAAGTGAGAACACCTAGTGCCTGATGGTAAAGAAAAATCCACAGGCAATGCAGCTGCCTAAGCTGAAAAACTTAACTAAATGCTCAGAGACATGTTAAGCAAACTAGAGAAGAAAGTTAATGATACATGACAATATATACCAGTATTCAGAAACAGCTGGAACATGTAAACCCAAAAAACATATAGAGCATAGGAGTGAAAGCACACACATGTAGGCAACTATCATGTACTTAAAAATTGAAGACAGTCAAGGAAAAAAAGGATTGACATCCTATTTAATGAAAATTAAGTGGTGAAAAAGAAATTAACTTTGAGAGGAAGGTCAGGTACTGTGTGTTTATGTATTTTTTCAGAATTCTTTTTACAGTTTCCTTAGTGATTTTACTAAGAAAGTATGGCTGGGATTTACTGTAATCCAGGCTTTCATAATACTGAGCCACTGCATCTAGTCAACAACACTTTAGCTTCCAAAACCTGCCCATCTTTAGACTGATACCACCTGGAAACTGTAAGAACAGGAAAGAGAAGGTTAGAAGACAAGGTCAAAAACTCAATTGATCCAAATCACTCTACCATTGTGTAATTCTCAGTTCAAGGTGGGGAGGACAGGGGGGGAGAGAGGGGAGAATCAAAGAAAAAAGGTCTGAGTACAGATCAGACTATAAAAATTCCAAACATATTACATTTGAGAAAGTATAATGTAACACTGAACCCCTCCTGTAAAACAGGCAGCCACAACTTTGCCTGCAGGAGATATCACTCTGCTATATGAAGTCCTCAAAACAACACTCAAGGATCAAGAGGAAATACAACTTCAGAGCTTTTGTGAAACTAAATGATTTGTGCTCCTATCCCTGTTCTACAAATGAAAAGTTGATGAGTTTCATTATATCACAGGAAGCATTCATTTCAACTGGTGATTAATTTTACAATGAACCAGGTCCTAGGAAAAATATTACTCACTAGTACAACATGAAATGCAGCACTTTGTACTATGACTGTACACTGAATCAGTGGGAAAGGAAAGCTTCTGCTTCTATTTACAGCCTCAGTCTTTCACTGCCCAAAACTGAATTTGGCATAACATCACTGTAAACACTGTACACAACATGCAACAAGATGTCAATGATTCTCCACACCAAAATGCTCATGATTTGCTATATCTATTTACTTAAATTGAAGAAATGCTAATATCATCTCACCCTTTCAAATACATACAAACTCTCTCCATATGGATACAAATAAGTTCACAAATGCAGCAGCCTCAATGCTGCTTTATTCCAAATCACACCCACAGCAGCACGCCCACTGATCTACAGTGACCACAGTATGGTCTTCCTTCAGATCCAAGTAAAACTGCCCACTGTTTCAGCAAAACCATTGTCCATTGTCTTGCATATTTTCTTCTACACCCCCCTCAAACTTGTTACATCTTTCCTTACAGGTTTGTTGTTTTACTGCTACTTAATCAGGTTTTGTTTACCTCTTCCTAAAACATACAATGACTCCATGGAGATCAGTGAACTATTAGAATGATTGGTGTCAGTTTCTCCTTCCCCTTCTTCACTATTGTCTTCACTACACTGCAAGCAGAAAACTTGGCAGCACTTAAAATGCCCAGCTACTTATTCCTCATCACACTTGGCTGCTACACAGAGCAGGTGATGTTCTGTTTGTAATCTGTTATGTGTATATTACCATCAGATACTGCCTGGAGATTATCAGCTAAACATAACTGAAACATAAAAAATAATTCTAATACTAAACAATAACAATTAGAAAGGAAGTATAATGTATACAACTCTTGTAGCAGGTTTGAGCCAGATAAATTAAACATATTAAATGCTTTCTCTGCAGAGTATCTAAAGGTAACTTCCTCCTTGATTATGCTCTTATGATCAGTAAAAAAATAAATTAAAATTATTGAACTCAGTAATTAGTCAGAAATTTCTTAAAAGCATTTTCAAGTTTCCTTACAACATTCTACTTGTGGAGCAAATGTTCCACTTCTGAAGTTACTGTTATTCTGAAGCCTCCCAATTCCAGTAGAGGATGGAAGATACATCATGATCTTTCATAAACTGCATTTAATTAGAAAAGATTACATAAGGCATGTGTGGGAAAAGGCTTCCAGGCACTCTGGAAGCACAACTGTACTGCTCATACCTGAGGTCAATCATGCAAGGACAAAAAACTTCAAGACTTTTTTTCTTTTCAACAGACAAAAATTTTTATCAGCTGGGTAACTGAAGTTTCATAGAACAGATGAAAGCAAATACCAAAAAAAACCTGTTTGCACTGCACCAGAAGTTTCAGCTATCTTAGATTCTCTGGTATTTCAGAGGTCCTTTAATACTAATTATTAATACATGTCTACCACAGCTCAAATATTTCATATTACCTGCTATATATTAAAGTTCAATGAAGCAATTATACCAGTCAGCAACATGAATGGGTTTCTTTTTTCCCTTACCTTTGAAGCTTTGAACCCATCCAGCAGATCTAGAATTTTATATGGAAGTTTTGCTGTTCTTTCTGATACTCCATTCCGATTTTCCAAAGGTACCGTAAAACCAGTTGTGACACGAGAACTGTTTTCAGACTTGCAAATAGCTCCTGAGGAACTTATCTCACTGCTGTCCAACTCCCTAGCACCTGTATGTTCTGTGAAGTGTGAAGACGCACTTTCTCCATCACTTAGGTTCTCAGAAGTGTCCACAGAAGGGACAGAGCCATACTTTTTATCTTGTACATTCTGTTTAGGGGGAGGATAATACAATTCTGCTAGCTTTTTGCAGAAGTGATTCAGAGGAAATCCCACCACATTCAAGAAGTCTCCATGGACATACTCCACTAACATTCCACCAAGGGCCTGGATTCCATATCCACCAGCCTTGTCCCTGGGGGACAGAAAGCAAAAACAACATATCTCGTTAATGTTAAGAGTAAAGGTAGCTCAGAACACAAATAATCCACCAGTACTGCAAAGTCTGGAATAAAGACCATTGTACTCAAGATAGAGGTGGATTAAATCTACCAGTTAGGCCCAACACTTCAATGTATAGGTCACAAGATAAACAGGATGAATATTTTACTGAGGATGAGTAGCTCAAGGTCTTTATGCTTCAGACAGTCCAAGTCACACAGCCACCCAAGCAGGAGGTACATCAGCTGACTGCAGATTGTGTTACCACAGGTTACTCAGCATTCTCAAAGTCCTGGCTACCAAAAAGGTAACAACAACCATTATCAAGACCAACATGGCCACTGGGTCACCCAGCTCTAAACTGACCCCAGTGCTATTCCACAAGAGGGTGAAGGGCCTTTAGGAATATGTTAGCTCCAAAAGGAGCTTACAGTGAGGAAGACAAATGACTGTAGTATGCATCTTGTGGATTTCAGGCACAGGAATATCTGAAATAAGGATCAGGAAGACAGAACTTTCTTGGGGAAGAGCAATCTATTCAAATAGAAAATCCACTACTACCCCATTCAGCCCAATCCAACTCTTGTGTAACTCTGAGATACAAGTAAAGCAGTGACTCACAGCACTGTGCTCTTAGATGTTGCGATAATATTAGTAATTTGTCACAGGTGTGTTTTTCACAGAAAGAAACCTTGGAAATCTAATTTGTCTTCAAGTGTAGTAATGAAAATTCCACTGTGTGGAATGGATATGCATACAGGCAGATAAGCTGAAACAGAACCAACAATTTCACTGTCCATATCTACGGAACAAGGCAGTTGGAAGCATGCTTACTGCATGATTACAACAGAAGCAGAAAGCCTTGGTCAGCAAGCTTTGAAACCAAAGGTCAGTCAGTCTCAGATCTATTAACTTCAAATACTATGGAATTATGCTGAGAAGGAGGTAGAAACCATTGTAACCATCAAAAATAGAGATACTCTATTTCCAGCAAGGGCATTAACACAATCAGCCATATCTTGTTTATTTTTATAAAAAACTTCACATGCAGGCATTGGGTCTTGAGTAGGATTTTCTACTACAGCTTCTAGCCCAAAAGCATGACGGTATGTAGTTAGTAACAGTTCCATTGGTTTTTCAGCAAGTGTCTTCCTTGCTAAAACCCAGAATATATCAGGATTTACACAGCTCTTGTAACTAGCTCTGGCTAATCTGATTGGCTTTTGCAACTGGATACTTTTTTTTAGCATATCACTAACTTCGAGACTTCATTTATAACATTATGCACAGCATCACTTAATTTGTGTCATAATAAAACAATAAAACTCACTTTAAAGACCTTTTGACAAGCAATAAGAACACTGCTGCAACAAAAATATTTTTCAGTGACTTACTTTTGTAGAGGATACATAATTTCAGCTTAAAGTGTGCAATACCCACTGATTAAAAAACAAACCAAAAGCAACCAAAAAACCCCACTCAAACAACCAACAAACAAACCAAGCCACACACAATACAGCAGAAGTGTGTCCAACATCCACTGACCATTTAAAAAAAACCAAACACAAATGCAGATAATGAAACTTACACACAGTACAACAGTGGGGTGGGGAGGGGGAAGGTTAATAAATAAAGCACATTACCCTTATTAGCTGTAGAACTTTATGAAGTTAAACAAAAGAATATATGTATGCTGTCTCTGAATTGTCCAACAGAGCCAATGATCAAATACACCACTACACTAACAAGCACTACTGTTCCTACAGATGAATGAACTTATGTAGAACAACTGTTTCAAAGAGAGGAATCAACTGGAGCAACATAAGATTAAAAACAAGATTCAAAGTTACTCTAGTATAAGAACAGTACAGTTCCCCTTACTTCTCTAATCCTACACCTGAAAGATTTTTTTCTCTTCTGCTCTAAGAACTAATATCCTCAAGCTAACCATGAGCTAATTTATGCTGAGACTAATTACTCACAAAATCTAGAAAAAACATTTGCTATAGCTTTGAAGAAAATAACTCTTAAGATGAATTATACAGGGGAAGAAAATTAGACAGTTCCATTCTACATTTTATTACTTCATAGTTATGTATGAAACTGTAGAGCTTCAGCCTATGTCATCACCTCTTTCCCAGACTGCAGTAGTGACCTTTGGTTTCAATGCCACCAGCCAGAGCAGAGCTACAAAAACCACATAATATCTTCAGACTGGAAATCACGAGCAGACACAGGGAAAACTGCTCACAAGGGAAAGATTACAAAATAAAAAAAGCTGGGTCAAAGAGGCTGGCAGAAACTAAGTCTACTCATTACACAAGCCCAAAACAGTTACGATCACTATGGTCCAGTCCTCTTTCTACAGAGAGCTAGAGAAGAAGACAAGAGACCCTGCCAGCAGGCAGAAAATCCTTGGTTGGAAAGAACAGGAATAAAACAGACAGGGAAAGGCCATCTATCTGGAGCCAAAATTTTGGAAGGGTTTTTGTAGCCTCACAGTCTACCTTGAGGTAGTGTTTTTCCCTCTCCCCCATACTTTAAATCAGCTATATATATACTTTTAGAATTAGTACTTGTGTCACCAGTGACTGACTTAAAATACTGTTAGCCAATTTTGTCCTTGCTAGAAAAAGAACTCAATCCAATCCTTAGCAGCACAAGAAACAATCTTCTTTTAATTTTTCATGCGATCATGAAAAGTCTTGTGTGATTTCATTAAATTAAGTAGCCATTAAAAAATAAACAAATGGTCACTTGAGCTGCAGTAGGGTTTAGAAAAACCTGTATGCACATACATGTGTAACCAGTATGGGTATACATGGAGGAGAGGACAAAAAAACCCCAACCAACCAAAAAATCCTCAGCAAGATTCTTCTGTTTTGTAAAATTTACAGGACACTATTTTTAGTAGTTCCTTCCCAAGGCCAGAGCAAATGCTTCCTATATTCCTGATTATATGCATGAACATATTCCTGATTATATGCATGAACATAGATCTTTTTTCTGCTCCAGAGATTAATGAAATATATTATCTGAACCTTTGATCCCTGAGAAACCCTTGATCACATGCACTCTGTTTAGCAGAGTGAAGAGAACTACCCAGTGCTGCTCATGAGCCATTCTGCTGCAGCACAGGACTGCTAAAGCATACTTTATTCCAGAGGAAATAACTATAATAATAAAAAAAATATTTTTCAACCTGATATTCTTCCCGAAAATTCATGGTAACTTCTCCTTCAAGCTGTAAATTTCTGATCAGATCCACACTTAATCTTACTTACATCAGCTTACTTATCTTCCAAAAACCCATCTAGGAATTGTTGTTACAAAGTGTATTCTTGCCAAAAGATTATTTTCTGCATAATCCAATTTAGCTTCAGTGTCTTTAATAAGCTGGGAACCTTACATGTTCAGAAAGTATGCCTCATTTACACGTAGGCACTTCAGTAAATCCAAAGTCTACACTTAGTTCCTCTTTCCC